AATAATAATAATAATAAGCAAATTTTTCTCTTCCGACTTTTAACATTCTTATTTTTTTTTTTTTGCAATTATTTGTCGTTGTTTTAAAAATAACAAAAGAAAACAAGAAAACAAAGTGTATTTTGAAATTTTAAGGTTAAAAGCCAGCGAGAAGCTCATTTTATTTCAGACATTTCAAAACACAGATGAATTTAGTGTTGAAACAAAAAAAAAAACTGTTATAAATTCAAAATATACGACTGAATTAATTTTAATGTTGAAAACAAATAAACATATATTTGAACAAAAAGTGAAAGAAAAATATTATTTATTAACAACATTTTTTTTATCTTCAATAAATACTAATTTATTTCTTAAAAGATTCTGAGTTGCTCCAAAACGGTTAACATAAGGATAGGTTTTAAAGTCGCTTCGTTGTCATTATTTTGTGATCAGTCTTAAAAATTTCACTTTTATCCTCCAGTTTCACCTGTTAGACTTTTGCTTAATAACGGAGTACTTTTTGTCTGTGCTGCATTTTTTCCTATAACCATTGCTTAAGTTTGATTATCCCATATTAATGCTCAGTGTTATTGTAAGTTCTGTTAGACAGCTATTAAATCTTTGTAAGAGTTGCAGTTGCACAAAATTTAGTACCCATAGTTTTCATCTATTGTGCGTTTATTGTTGCAATTCAAAAACTGTTTACCATTGTACAGCAGTTGGTTAAATTGTTATCAAACTTAATTTTAAAGTAAGTAAGTAAAAAGTAGAAAGAGTAAGTAAAAATAAGTAAAAAGAAAACAAAATTTACGTTTATTATTGTTTTTAGCATAACTAAAATTATTGCTATAAACGCTGAACAGTAAATCTACACTTTTTTTTTTTTTAGAAACCATTATTTAAGCATTTTAAAGGTTACCAAAAAAAAATTGTTTGATCTTTATATCTAAAAAGCAAAGAAGTAATTGGTAAAATATCTCAAATATAAGAATATAGAAAATTTAAATTTTTTCTCTTCACGGTTAACTTAAAAACCTCGCCTTTTCCCAACTTTTTTAAAAATTTTCTCTAACTTTTTATTAGTCTTTCTTCTTTTTTTTAAATTTTTTTCTTCTGTATTATACCATGTCTGACTTTGTATCACAAAAAAAAAACATCGAAAACTATGCTAAAATAAAAAGAATATTTTTCTCCTGAGTTTTCCAACTTTTTTTCACTGTTCTGAAATTGAAACATAAACTTTAAGTGTTCTAAACAACTTCAACTTCTTCAAAAAGTAGCGTAATGAAAATGACAATGCCTCATTCTACTCTTATGGTTAATTTCTTGCTTTACATTAGACATTTGAATGATACAGTGTATTTTGTTTCAACAAATATAATAAGTCTTTAAAAGATGGCCTATAAAAA